CTAAAGTTTGGTGGATGTTCTATTACTGCGCGCATTGTCGACTCTCATTATGAATATTTTTTACAACTTTTTAATAATTACTTATAATTTAATAAGTGTCTAGCTTATTTTGTACACATTTTAACAGTTGGAGAGCTGGAAATTCTATTTAAACTCTTCAATATGTATAATCGATAATGTATAGCATTCCAAAGACAACTTTTCCGCGACGATAATTCCGCGTTCTGTTTGGAAAAGGACTATTAGTCTTTCTGACATGGAAATTTTACTCTCTCTAGCGACTCGAAGACTCTACGATGACATTAGACTATCAAGTAAGACTCAGTGCTTATCGATCGGTTTACAAATTGCGTTTAACGCCCAGAGACGCGACCGCCTATCGGTACGAATAACAAGCAACGAGCACAGTCTGGACGTAATCCGATTTGACACTTAATAAGATTTAGGCATCCCGGAATCCGTACGATACGTACGGATGTAATCGCATTTATGCGCCAAAGGAAAAGGCACACGCTCTCCTCCGTACATGGGAAACTTGTCGGAGCTGAAACGACGTACCGTCGTTTTCACGATCTGCGTTCATTATACGATATTATGCGTATCGCAATCAATTCGCTCATTATCGAAGTTTATTTTCCGGCACCAAATTCAGAGAGTCTCAAGACGCGCTATTGTCGAAACTGCTCGATCTCTCAACTTGCTAAATTTCTTTAGCGGTACAGGTAATCATTTTTCCACGGTGAAGAAACCCAAAATCGCATGGTATCTCACAGATTGATCCTGTTTTCTTTCTTTTTTTTTTTAATCGCGTTAGATCGGATTTTGTATGAAATTTTGCACACTCTCAAGTGACTATTCTTTTAAATTTAAAGAATGAGAAACATTTATGTGAAAGCTGAAATTGCGATTTCTTGCTAATCACACCTAGCATGCGTCGAAATTTTCAATCTCGTTGGTACACGGGCCGTGTATTTTAAAATATTATCTAGAATCATTAATTTTGGAAATGTTTTTCACTCGCACAGTTCCACGCGGTCGGAAGTGAAAATAATCATTTTCGACGCAAGTGTGTCAGGTGTATGATTTCCCGTTGCACCGAAGCCGAGAGGGAAATATTTCGAGCAATTTATAAATAATGCAGTATCTGGCAAATATTCTTAATTTCTACAAGTTTGTTTTTTTTATAAAAAAAGAGTTTTGCTTACTTTCTCTGTTACTCTCGTATTTTCCGAAACAATCCTCAACAAAGTTATCCTTGACACGCAGCTTCGAACAGGTGTATCGTGCACGTGGATCCGAAGGACACCGAAGACAACGTCATCTGCCGACAGTTTCTTGCAAGATGGCCGCGTCTGTCAAATGCAACTTCCACTGACAGCAGCGAACGCCACAGGATATATTGCACGAGTACGCACGGAACAAGGTTCGTATTCTATCCATGTTACGGATGTGAACGTGCTCGATATTTTTGCGTACTTTGGAGAGCAATAAAGTGGCTCGTATAGTCTTGGGCGTGGTGCGGCACGAATCACTCTCAATTTCATTTGTATCGGTTTCTCCTTTTTTTTATTGTAATTTTTTGTAAAACTTCGTTCTATCGCGTATACAATCAGGTTCTTAATTTCTTTGTAACAATTTTCATACAATTTTTGTCTCGCGTGCACCTTGCGAATTTCTTGAGGTTATGTTACAGAGATTGGACAGTTAGAATATGTCTAAATGTTTACTATTGCAAATATATTTGAAAGTGCACGAACAATTGGTCCAATTGTCGAGTTTAAACAATCAAGTTCAAATCTTGACCTAACATTTGTTAAGTAACTGGTGCGTGATGAGTGGTCGATGACACAAGAAATATACAAAAATTTGGAAACTTCAGAATATCCTGTATTGATTGTTCGCAGGTTTGGAAAGATCTACCCAATGTTGGCAAACACAAGAATGTTGTTGCAACAAAAGTAGAAGGACTTGGGACTATTCTCGATATCAAGTATGGAAAAGAGACACAGTGCGGAACTTCTTAGTGTGGAGCAGAACAATTCCAAGAATGCCAGCTCAGATTCCCTTAACTCAGACAGCAAAAGCAGTTCGCTCAACTCAAAAATGGGCCAGGAATCGGTAAGATTGAGTGTTTGTTGGATCGAAATCAAATTAACTGGTGTGGCATATTTTTACATACCAAACTGCAAATGGATCCTCTTTAGGAGAGCTGGGAGAAAGCATCACATTCGAAAAGCTTTTCTTCAACCTCCACTTCAACAGATAATAATATAGTCTCTACTTTGGAGGCTAAAAGAGATAATCAAGTAAAAGTGAGTTTGTGACAAACTTTTGAGCGTAGCACAGTTTTGGTTTTTACATATGCGATTGTGGCATCCTTCATTTATTTGAATATCGATGAATGAAATTCAGTTCTACTTTATATCTCATCACTTTTACTTTGCGACACGTTTGTCGCTGCACCACCCGTTGAATCGCTTTCTCTTGCATGATGTTTGTAGCTAGCCAGTTATTCCGTTATTTTGATTAGAATTTGTCTGGAGGAGACACGGGACCGCCACTTTTGAACGGAGAACGAGTGCAAGGCATCGCGCACGAAGTAACCTACCTGTGTCCTTACTCGGGACCCGCCAGAGGAATCCTTAGTGTCACGAATTACAAGCTCCATTTCCGTAGTATAGATCGAGAAACGCCTTATGTCGTTGAAGTGCCGTTGGGTGTCGTTAGCCGAATCGAAAAGGTCGGCGGTGCGTCTAGCAGAGGAGAGAACTCTTATGGGATCGAAGTGTTTTGTAAAGATATGAGGAATCTCAGATTTGCCCACAAACAGGAGAATCATTCCAGACGAGACGTTTTCGAGAAGCTGCAACAGTATTCCTTTCCATTGTCACACAAGTTACCTCTATTCGCCTTTGAGTACTCCGAGACTTTCTCCGAAAATGGTTGGAACGTTTACGAGCCTATAGCGGAGCTAAAAAGAATGGTATGTAATAGATAGAACCCGATTTATAGAATTATTGCTTTGCAAGTAAACATAAAGCAAAGATATGCGGAAGATGCGATTTTAATGCGATTTGTCTCGATGCAATTCTCGATATCGTTTTCGTGTTGTTGCGTTTCAGGGTGTAAATAATGACATGTGGAAAATATCGAAAATCAACGACACGTATTCGCTGTGCGACAGTTATCCGGCAGTCTGGGCGGTACCTGCCGCAGCGACTGACGAGGATCTTCAAGCGTCTGCGGGATTTAGGAGTAGAGGTAGACTTCCGGTTCTCTCTTGGATTCATCAAGAAAGTCAAGCGACGATAACTCGCTGCGCTCAGCCATTAGTGGGTGTTGGCGGTAAGCGAAGTCGCGAAGACGAAAGGTACGTCCAACTCATAATGGACGCAAACGCGCAGAGCCACAAGCTTTTCATCATGGATGCTCGGCCGATGCCAAATGCGATAGCGAACAAAGCGAAAGGCGGCGGATACGAAAGCGAAGACGCTTATCAGAACGCGGAGTTAGTCTTTCTTGATATTCACAACATTCACGTCATGAGGGAGAGCCTTAGGAAATTAAAAGGTTTGTTGTTACAAAGTTCCGTCCTGTCGCGTTTCACTAACTTTTACTAACAGCCGATGTTTTCAGAATTATGTTTCCCTACAATCGACGAGGCTCGATGGTTATCGGGCATAGAATCGACAATGTGGCTTAAACATATCAAATGTGTTCTCGCTGGAGCTGTGAGAATCGTGGACAAAGTGGAGAATCACAAGACTTCTGTCCTGGTTCACTGTTCCGACGGTTGGGACCGAACGGCGCAAGTAATAATAGTTGTTTACTTTGAAATCGCGATGTCGTAATCTTGTATCTGTACTTACTATATTATTATTGTCCCGTTTAGCTCACTGCTCTCGCAATGTTGATGTTAGATCCGTACTACAGAACGGTCAAGGGATTCGAGGTTCTAATAGAAAAAGAGTGGCTCAGTTTTGGACACAAGTTTCAACAGGTACCTTCGTGCAGAATTTGATCCGAGTCATACAAGTCATTGCATATTATGTGAAATATCTCTTAACGTATATATTATGGCTTCCTTTCTTTCCTCTTTATAGAGGATAGGCCACGGAGATGAACATCACAGCGATGCGGACAGATCGCCGGTGTTTTTACAATTTATCGACTGTGTTTGGCAGATAACCCGGCAGTTTCCTAACGCTTTCGAGTTCAACGAACACTTCCTAATCACCATTCTCGATCATCTCTACTCTTGCAGATTCGGCACGTTTTTATTTAGCAGGTACATATAGACACACATATTTATCTTGTACCGTTTGAGTAAATAAGTAATATTATCGTTTGCAGTGAACGTGAAAGAGCGCAAGAGCAGGTGAAACAGAGAACCGTCGCCCTCTGGTCGTATACCAACAATCAACTACCTCTTTACTTGAATCCACTATATCGATCCGGTCCCAATTATCAGCTTGTCCTGATGCCGATTGCCAGCATGCGTTACATCAAGCCATGGAAGAGTCTCTACTGCAGATGGAATCCCAGTATGCGACAACAGGTACTATCTAAACTCACCTTGACAAATAGAATTTTTTGAAATTCCTTGAATTCCTTGAAAACACGCACGTAAGTTCGTCTCTCTCTCTCTCTCTCTATCTGTTTCAAGGACCCTGTCTATCAAAGAACAAGGGAGCTTCTAGTCTTGAAAGAGCAACTGGAGAAACAGTTGGAGGAAGGTCGACGCGAACAAGCCTCGCGAGCGAATCGATCTCTGACCTCGCCGGCGCCACCGAGGATACATTCCCCGGTTCACTCATAGCGCTGCGGGAAACCCGACCGTCTGATGATTTGTAGTTTTGTAAATGAGCTGTAAACTTGATCCACTCCTTTGAGCCAGTACAAGATGTTTGATTGACTGAACTTCGCTTGGATGTACACGATACGCCCACTCGATAAAGGTCGATTTAAAATCACGCGCAAACGAGCGTCTTTGTAGTTCAGTTAATTAATCGCATACATAACCGGTATATATACGTAATATTCCTTCTCCACACGTAACTATATACCGATTATAATATCGATACGCTTATCCTACGAATATGCTCCATCGAGCCAGGTCTCGCACAATTAATTATTAATATTAAACGTGTGATATGAAACGAATGATTGTATCGCCGTAAAGCCGATTTTATTTTATTGGAGACACCACTTCTCAGACGCACAAGACTAAGTGATTAAACTAATTACAAAGCTATGCTAATGCGTTGCTATATTGCGGTATTGGTATTGCGATCACGTCCGCAAAATTTATGAATGAGATTGTCTCGCACATCTCATTTTTTTATGCCGCGAGACTGAGCCAACTTTTGCGTTAGCGATATATACGGAGCCTCTGACATTAAAGACAACGCGTAAGCGCAAAAATAAGTAATTACTAAGTTCCCAAGAAACATGGTACACTAGAAAAGAAAAATTAGAGCAATGAGCTTATCCCTTGAATTAAGATTGAGGCTTTAAGGATTTGGATTCACTCACCGCAGTCAGAAAGTTCAAATGATCGGCCGATTCACTGTACAAGTGAATCGAGTTTATGATGAAAGGATTTAAAAGGTAAGCGCAGTAAGTGAGTCTACTTAAAGGTATCCAACCTCTGAACGACAACAACTGATTGACTATGCCTGTAAGAAGTGTGTTTGAATATTAGAATAGTTTCTTCAATAATTTATAGCGTGCTGCAAAGCTTGCTGAAGAGAAGAGCTTATAAAGATCGAAACGAACAAGTTTCGCGCGAGTTCAACATAAGATTAATCTTACCTCCGTGTTTAGTGTAACACGCTATTAAAATCCATGCCAGACCTATCGCCCAGACCGTCCTGCTCAGTCCAACGTAAAAGGCAGTGGCGAGAACAGATATGTATCGCTCGCACAAGCCGAACAATACGGAAACGTTGCAAGCGCTACCAAGACACCAACACAAAATTACAGTCCTCTGGAAAATGCACGCCACTTTTAAAATATTGTACTCCAACTTTTTGTCGAACTTTCGTGAAAGTATATCATCAATTATATACTTTACCCTTTTTAAGACCAATTTTTTGTTCAGTTTTAGCGCAAGGTAAGCAGTAATCATTCCGATGATGTAAGGACCTATTCTAGTCCACGGCGAGTAGTACAGGATATTCTGGAGTCTATACTGTTCGTCCAGCCTGCAAACGACAAAAGACACGCGCATTTAATCAATCCCACGATTAATAAGACACTTTTCTCAAACTTACGTCGGGACGTATTCATTAGCGTATGATATATAACCGGTGAGTACAATCGTGCCTATCAGAAGAGTGCATAGTATGACAACGGCCGTGTAAAAGTATCTGAAACTCACAAGCTATGTATTTGTTCAGACACAACGTACGGAGCACGACGTCGGAGCACGATAGCGTTAAAATATCGTGCCGCAAGTCGGTCAACTTACATAGTCAACAAAATCAATAGGATCAAGCCGATTACGAAATATTGCGTGTCATTGGAAAGGTACCAACTCCAAGACATGCACTGCAAGAGTAAAAATTCGTTAATAAAACGTTACGCACACACGCGAGCGTAATCTTGAAGCCGATTGAATTGTCCGTACCATCGAGTTATGGTCGAAGAGATTATTTATGTACAAAAGATTTCTCCACCAGTATTTGGCGCATGTCTCGTGCGGTCTTTCGTTCATGTAAAACTGCGAGGTCCTGCTGTACCAGGACGAATTCAAGTATACTATTCCTATCGTCATCATATAAGGAGGTGTTAGCCTTAAAATGAATTTTTAAATATGAAAGAAGGAACATTATTATATAATATTCGATTTTTACGTTTATCTCTTGTATATTTTCTTGTCTTGCTTATTATCGTACTGTTTATTGTCCGGACGAATTGAGATAACGAACAACATACCGGATAAATCTTCTCGTTACGACGACAAAGAACTCGTTCAGCTTCGCCGCGTAATTAATCGGCTTATTATACGTTTTACCCATTGATTTCTCCAGATATAAATAAGCGAGTAAAAATCCGCTGATGAAAAAGAAAGTATCGACCGCTAACGTTGAATTGCTGATTACTTGAGTGGCGAAGCCCTCGCTCATTCTCATAATCCATGCTCTGTTATCTACAAAATAAATTTCGTTAAACGCAAAAGATGCGCATATATGGATGGATTAAGAAAATCTCGTTTTCTTACCGAAATAATCCATCGTGTAAAATATGGTATGGATCATGATCATCCAAGTCATGCCTATAAATCTCAAGCCGTGAATGACGGATATCGAACTGCTGTTCATTGTTGTGCCGAATATAAATTTCGTGTTTGTGTAAACGGAGAAGCATATCAATACTTGTTCGAGTTTACTTTCTTTGCGTAGAGACATTAGTTCCGCGTCTTCTGGCACATCTTTCGAGTTATTCGTATCACAATCCAATATCTTTAGTGGCACTGATACGAAAAATGATTAGTCCATTATATATATATGAGAAATGTAACGCAGTTTCTTGTTAAATTACAGAAGAAACGAAAAGTATTTCGAGGAAAATACTTACGAGTCGTATTATCGCTATATGTGCGAAGGTTTTTCGCTTTCAAGTATTTTTGATGCACGAATATATCGTATATCGTTCCGATTAACATCAAGGTCCAAGTAAACACCAATACAAATCTGCAACTCAGAAAATTGTAACTTTATGCTGTAGTGAAACCACCCACTAATTTCTCTCTCGCGAACATATATTTTAAATAACGTACCCGATGAAAAATACTGCACCATTGAATAACCATTGATTATCTTCTTTCAGATCTTTGACTTCAATCAATCTAAAGTCCGCGGAGTAAAGGCCACCGATCAAAAGAGTTCTGTCACGAAATATTCTCTTCAAAATGAAGCTTAGATTGTTCGTGGAGCAGGATGCCGGTAAACAGAGACCGAGAGTAATTAAATCCTGATTAAATAGAAGTTTTTGTACAATGCATCTCTTGATATGTTTATTTCGGCTTATTTTTATTTATAAACCGGATATTCCCTGAATGAGTTGCTATCGAATTGCATGTGATTTTTTTTCTAATTTCAGAGAGAGAGAGAGAGAGAGAGAGAGAGAGAGAAACTCGCGTAAATTTATAAAAGTCCACACCTAATTTGACTGAAAATTAAGCGGTATGTCAACTTTAGTACACTATTTATAACTTTCTTCTTTTACGATTCGCAGCATTACATCATAAGGCTATCCCGTAAGGATTAAGTCACGCTGAACAGCATCTGGTTGCAGCCTCGACGTTGATTAGCGGTCAACCCTAATTGCTACGTTTTTCTCGCTCTGATTTTATAGGTATACGTATCGTTTAGAAAGGTGCAGCAAATTGACTATTTAGGATTGGCCAACACACGTCGTTGTTGCAATTCGAGTTTCACAAAATGAAAATCAAGAGATCTACGCAATGAACATAAAGAACATAATACCGACATAAGGGACAAACCGATGTACACATTGATGAATTACTTTAACTCGTCATCTTTATAGATATGAAGATTGAAGAATATACAAAAGATGGTCAGTCAAAGATAACAAATTAATCAAATATGTGACGGGGCTCTAAAATCTAAATAGATATGAGAATTGAAGAATACGACCATTAAGAGCCTAACTCGGTTATCGGTGCGACCAATAATATTATCTGCGGAAGGATCTCTCGTTGTTTGGGACAAGTCAAACGCCAAAATATTTTTCATTCAAAAACGTACGTGGTAAAACTATACCTTCTTTGTGCACAAACTGTCCTTAAATTCCCACTTGTAACAATGTTAAATTCCCCTTTACTCATTCCCATTATCCCAATTAGGCTTTTATCTTTGACTGTTTATCATTTGTTATTCTCGTGTTCGTTTACTTACGTCGTTAGGATATGTAACCTGGTACTGAAGAGTACTATTGTGCCTGAAATGAGCAACGAAGTAATTTATTTTGAAGGGCGGAAATTCCTCTCGTCGGTCGCGGTATAGCGTATTATTTAGCGTTTCACGTTCCGCCAGTTCCAAAGAATGTGAATTCATCGTGTCCTGACATTGGCTACGGCTGCCCAGCCAGAAATTATTTCCATAGAGAAAACCCGATTTAGGTTCGCCGTTTGAGTCTAGTACTTCGAAAATAGAAAAATAGGCGATCGTTATTATGGCAGAGAATGTAAAAAATCAACTATTAACTATGTAAATATATTGCATTGATCTTTTTTCGCTGAATTGTCTTATGTGATACGTATCGCGACGAATCGCGAACTTTCGCGTTTCTGTCTTATACAATGGCGTTACGACTATAACAGCGAGAAACGCCCAAAATTCTGCACGTAACATCTTACGGGGATATGTAAATTATGTGTATTTAACGCTGTGTGCCGAGTTAATGCATGTGTTTAAACGCTGATACGACACCTGGCGCGATTACGCCAGGTGGTTTCAAATCGCGCGATGCAGAGTCCTCGAAAAGAAATGAGAGAAAATCGCCGTGCACGCGCAACGGACACTTTTCCTTGGTCATATGACTGGGAAACTAGTTCCTTGTGTAACACGAAGAAAGTCGATTCGGCGAGCTGTTCTAACGAAAAATCACATATCTGACACAATCGCGATAATGCGCTTATGTAGAATAAGTGTTGCGTAATGAGTGATCAAATTACGTTCGGAATGTGACTTGAATGCTGCAACTCGAACAACTGGGTAGCATTCTCGTAATAGTAAGAATACGTTGCCGCAACGAGTCACCGATATAATAAATGACGCTTTTTGCTTTTCACAGACTCACAATTTTTAATTAGAGCAAGTCGCAAGTACGTAATGGGCGTATGTGTACGCGAGTGATGCTAAGAATTGAACGTGCCGGCAAAAAGATATGTATTTACATACTTTTTATATCAATTTTCCATTCCAATTTTTGGCAGTCTTTTCTGTCCGATTTAACATTTCAACTAAACTCAAAGGCTCTATGTTTGCAACACAAAATTAAGAATATAATATGAGAGTAGTGCTAATATAAGTCTCAAAGTAATGTAGAAGCGGCTCGCAGGTTGCGCGCGCGATGATGAGTTAAAAGAAGGGATAACGCTAGGCGGAGCGAATCGAGCGAAATATAGAACATGTGTTAAGTTTGAATTAAAATATAATCAGGTTCGCGCGAATTTGACGTGGTTTGACACTGAAAGCTTTGATTCACCGCGTACGTTAAAAGATCGTAAAACAATATTACCCTTCCATAATTATTTTTTATTTATAGCATCCAACGCACACGGGAGAAAGGGCTCTTACTGGTCTTATATCACACTTTTAATTAACGTTTGAATTTATTGTGTCCGAGTGATTGTGAATTTGACTAACCTTTCAGGCTCCATAATATCCGATGATCGACGGCGTTTCGAAATTCTCGTAATTCTTCCCTGCATGTCGTCGAATTGAGAAGATCGGCTCTCGAGGCGATGGTATAGGCGATAGTGTAGGCGGGTAGAAGGCGATTGTTCGTGTCGTTAGATATTTCATTTTGCTCGGTGGCACAAAATAACATGAGAATCACGCAGACATACGAGAAAAAGGAAAATTGCCAATGCAACATGATGAGTCTGATGTCTGTAGTCAAACGAACACTTTTGCTTTCCCGTCACTGCAAACACCGATATCGGTCGTAAAGTTTTTGAAATGCGATACAGAGCGAAGCGCTATTTTTTATTTATTTATTTATAACGAATTGTTTGCCAAGACTGAACGGAATGCTTTCTTGCAGGAAGAAACGTCGCTGAAGACCGCTGAAGATGCTGGCCGAAGCTGAGGACGAAACGTTCCTTCGGACTGTTCTCTATTCTCGCCGTTCAATTCTGTTTCTATGCAAATGTCAGTACAACATTTGGGAAGTTCCGTTCGCAGCTCCTGCTTTTGGGCTTGCACAATGCTGGAGCGCAATGATCAGCGAGATTCGACGACTGGGAGAGGACTGGGGAGCCCAATACAAGAAGTTTACGCTGACTCGAAGTGGAAAGCGAGGCGTCCTCGTCGTTGATGTCTTTAACGTCGCGCGACAGGACCCCACCACGTCATTTGTGTATGGGGTATCACTTCGCGTATGATGATCCACTGTATATGTCGAGTCCGCATGAATAATCGAATCGAGGAGAGGGAATAACGAAAAGATGTGTCCTTCGCTCTAGACACCTTTAAATTTCTATCTCGCATCTAGGATGCCCTGTGTTGACAAGTATAGTTATCGCTCAACTTCCAAAGTATTCCGCTGATGAATGCAGTACTTGAAGAGTATACTTTTTTTGTACATAGGTTAAACGAGAAAGCGTTATTACCTAAACGGAGTAGTGTCGAAACCGAGTAACGAGAATAGTGAGCATGCACAGACCCGTGCGTGATTGAAACACGCTCAGTGGTCTAAACAGTGGTCACAGGTCGCGGCGACGGGACGGAGACTTCTGTCCACGTAATCGAATACATAAACCGTGTCTTCTTGCTACTCATATGTATAATAAGAGCGTGTTTTCTTATTGCATAACGCAACAAGATTTCACCTGCCTTTTTTCGTCCTTCCCGAATGACGACATCCTGCCCGTTATTGTATCTGTTTTTACATACTCTGTATGAGAAAATTCAATTTGAATTGCGATCAATAGTGGTTTGCGAATGTTTAGTAATTACAAGCTACGACAAATTTAAAATAAAACGCCTGAACGCAATCCCGAACATTTTTTAAATACGAATATTTCATAAAACAAATATGTATGTATATGTGTATATTCTATATTGTAAAAGTTCAAGTATTTAGAAATTAAAACAGTACGTATGTCTAGAATCAGGAGATGTCTAGTGTCTGAGGATTGAATTTTTATCTTCAATCATAAAAATGATGTCGCAGTCAAGGTAAAAATTATCCAAATACGAGAGATCAGTTAAGACAATTAGCAAACGTTACGATATCGCATATGCTTTGTATCTAATCAATGTAGATGACAGAGATACAGAATTTCTATCTAAACTATTTGTGAAATTTAAATTTTATTTGTGAGATTTTAGCAAGAAAGTCTCTCTGTGGCGCCCATACAGATTAAGACCAGTTGCATTTCTTATAAAATTGAAAATGACTGTTGTATAGAGAAAAAAAAGACAAACGAATAATCTTCATACCTATCTAAATTTGCTTGTATATATTGCTAGAACGTTATTACTGTAAATTCTACATACCACAGATAGTTCTCTAGGAGATACAAAAGACAGCGTACTGTAGACTTGTGTTTTAGAGTTTTATCTCCAAAAAGATATCTTTTTGAATGTTACGGCTGGAAATTGTTAATTATTCCCAAAATTGCAAATCATGCATGACAAGTTTCGTAATACTGACTTCCACAAATGCAAAAAACCATCATAGTAGTTTTCTCATTTTAGTTAGTTCATTGGAACACGCGACATATAGATAAGATATATATACCCAGTAAACACTAAGTATCATCCATATTACAGTGTCAGCTCAATTATATGGTATATTATATTATGTAACTGTTACTTTGTTATATAACAAAGTAACAGTTACGTAATATACCATATAATTGAGCTGACATTGTAACATTGATGATACTTTGTGTTTACTGGGTATCCTAATAAAAATACTTATCGTAACATCGATGTCGTAATAAACCGATAAAATTAATAATAATATAATAATAATCTATGAAATAAACAATAAAAATAGGCAGGTATGAAAAATTTGCTCCCGTCGATCGTATCAAACTTATGCAATCGATTACAAATATACTTGTAAATAAGTATGGCGGAATGCTAACTAGATGTTGCATTAAAAACGCGTAGATTTTGTCTTTGTGTTTTGTAATAATATTATTTTTTACATTTATTTTCGATGTGATCTATTTTACTGGATTATGGTGTTATGAGATATCTGCGGCGCAAGCCACGAAAATAAAGCTCCGTGCGCCCGTTCTGTAGAAATATATCGCTTCAGGATTGCGGAAGCGCTGAAAAACGAGCAATCGTGGTGTGCCTTTCACCAAAAACCTGTTCTCATCCGATTGGGATCGCGTTTGTTATCTTCAGGGAGCCAATTGCATTCGTTTTTATGGCGATCCAAGTGCCGACCGATCGTACCGTGAAAGCGCTCGCATAACGAGCGCATAATATAACGCGTGTCGGTGTCTCTCGCAACGGATGTGTTACGTCAACATTGCGGATCTGTCCATACGGCAGAGAAAGTATAATACCTTCGCTTCCTGATTCTAGACCATCGTTCTTCCGATTGATTATGTCCCGATGCGTGCCACTTAATAGCACGGCTAACAACATTACATTTTCCGATTCCTTCATTTCGCAAACCAGTTTTGATGATTGTACGATACATGTTATGCTAACTCGTTGCATTTTCTTATTGGTCTTTTTCCTTTTTCAGTTCAATCGCAAATGATGCTGTCGTACAGCGATACTTGCTTAAGAGCAACACGCGACGAGAAGGACTCTACGAGTGATCAAAACACGAGAATATGGTTTTTAAGATGTTATATTATCAGCACATGGAAGTTTCGTAATCATCTGACAAAGTAAAGAATAGACGAAATATCAACAATTGTGTAAATCAGGAAGGGTGGCGTCACGGAGCGCGACCCGCGGCTGCCACTTCCGCGAATGAAAGTAAAAGTCGTTACAATACAATTAATAATACAGGTAATAACGGTATCTATCGTTACAATATCATAAAATATCACAACATTAATATCTGCCGGGCAACGAAACGACCGCGGTTTTCTGCAAATGTGTTTTTCTTTCTCTCTCTCTCTCTCTCTCTCTCTCTCCTTTTTTTTTAAATTTTTATCGACGAACGGGTGAACACGTGCGTTGTCGTCGCGACGCCTCGGATCGCCGTGGTAACGAAAGAACGATATTCTACGCACTTTGTCTCTTAACGTGACGCGACGTACAAAAACGAGGAGTCGTTTGCGTCCCACTCGGGAGGAATACTCGTGCGAAGTATACCTCACCATGGGAGCTCTATCCAATAAATTAATTAATGTGAATCGACGCGCTTTTCGCTGCGATGGCTCCTGGCATATCGCGCGTATCTTATAAACAAAAGGATTGTCTCGAATGAAAAAATAGCCCTCGCACGTTCACGAGGAAGTTTATGAATCGACTTGCTTTTTAACTCACGACTACCGTGGTTGAGTGAGACTGGTGGCGAAGTAGCTTTCGGATCGATACTTTTTGTACTGTGATAAATTGGCAAAAAAGATTGATAATTATTATGCTTTGTAACGCTCTTTTTCAAAATAATCGCAAGTTGTCAAGTGTTTAAATTTATTTTTCTCAAGATGCGTATTTCTATTTCTGTCTTCTTCTATTTCTTCTGTTATTTTACTGGATTCAACTTGTTTGTAGTAGTCAAGAGTTAACTCGAAAGTCGTTGCGACGGGACTCGCGAGCGACACGATATAAATCGTAGTCCTATAAAATTGTGAGAGTGATATCGAACGGTATTCTCGAACGTTATCTAACAGGGGAATTCATAACAGTGATCCTTCTCTAGATGCAAATAAGAGAAACGTACCTTACTTTACATCTGCGCAATCGCAGATTTAGGGACTAAATTATCTCTGAAACAATCAACTTTGTTGAAAACATTTTCGTCTTGAAGACATTTAAAGCGTATCAAAATCGCGAGGGAACTGTTGTGAATTTCCTTGTAAGGAGAAACGTACGCGCGTAGAAAAAGAAAGGAAAACGCAGCGGAAAGGAACGTATTGATCTATTTATATACGAAAACGTACAACGTGATGCCTGCCTCTTATCAAACGTGTGATTCGCGTTGGAATATATCGATCTCCTGTCCGAATGTCGGCAATTTTATCACTTTTAATCGTTTATCCGATTAGCGCAATTAATGGACTCGATTTTCAAAATGGAACTCTACGAGAGTCTCGGAAATTCATAAGAAAGAGAAAAAGAGAGGAGAAGAAATGAAAGGAGAGGTGAGGAGGTGAGAAGAAGGGAAGAGAAGAGAGGAGAGGAGAGGAGAGGAGAGGAGAGGAGAGGAGAGGAGAGGAGAGAAGTGAAGAGAGGAGAGAAGAGCAAAAGAAAAGAGAGGAAAGGAGAGTCACTCGTTGCCCTCCAAACACGTCCGGATCCGTACGAGAAACTGTATCGGCGAGTTACTTCGGAGTGCCTCGAGGAAGCGTTTGTTTGTGCACGCAATTCAATCATCGACTTCATGCCCTTCTTTCTGCGATGAACCGCGAGGAGAAATGCTCTTAAACTACTCTTTCGGACCTCGCGGACATTGGAAGTACTCACTACTCTGCGACGATTCAGGCACACCTAAGCACGCGTTACTAACAAAACACTCTTTCATTTTTGCAGGCATTCGGAAACCTACGTATCTATCCGCACGCACGCACGCACATATACGCGCGCATACACACACGTACATCTGTTCGCATACTTTTTGATACACCGGCACAACGTACACTAGCAGTTATAGATTATTCGTTTACGGAAAGAAGGTATGTGTACAACACCAGCGATTTAGCTACGTAACAGATACTACAGCTATATATACAGATTACTATCGGGATAGCCGGGTCGAGCCGATCGAAGAGTCTGGCTGACCTCTGGAGAAGGTTCGACGAAATGGAGACCGATGTCTCCGTCGAGCTCGTTAACGTTAATTTAATAAAATAATGCTACATAAACTATTCAGTCGTGGAACATTTATATCGCACTGTACAGAGAACGCGGTTTTGTACATTAAGAAGAACGTTTCCAAATTCACTCCCTCAAAAGAATCAGCTGGTTTTGGAAGTACTTCGTCTAAGAGTTGCGATTGCTCAGGAAGCATCGAAGCTGTGCTACTCTCGAAATAAAGAGTGTCTCTTTTGAAGCGGAAATGTATTCAGATAATGAGATTACAGATGTTACACGTATATTCAGTCGTTTGCACAACGGCTCGCACATACTTTTTTTGATCAAGTTGAGGGAGCTCATTGAGAAATCAAAGCACTTTTATCCGTTAGGAAATAAAGGGTTACCATTTGATATACTGTCCGATTATCATGCAAGCTCGTGAGCAGTAGTTTGCAATCGTGTACAGACCGTCGTGTAAACGAGTGTATACTTACGAGTGTATCTTCCAACTATTCACTTGAACTCTCTCCGATTAACTGCACATGAAGGTTTCGAAAAAGTAAACCAAAGAACAAAAAGAAAAACTAAGAGAAAAATTACTTGCTCATAAGGCAGAAATGAATTGCCAATTGACAAAAAGTGTAAAATCGTAATCCAAAATCGGAATAACAGTAGAATATGATTTATCGACGTTTCTCGTTTGGTTGGAAATGCTTTCTCTCTCTCTCCCTCTCTCTCTCTCTCTCTCTCTCTCTCTGTGTGTGTGTCAAAGGTACTTTTATATAAAACTACGATACATAATATCTCAATTTAATATCCTTGTCTTCGTGCCCCGATCACGGTTTGCGTTTCGCACACGTTACACGTAAACGTAAGGTATCGTCGCCGTATTGCTATAAATAAAGTTGGCGCTTAAGTTTCGCTCGACATTACTCTCTCCATTGCAAAGTTTCGTCGGACCTTGACCGTGTTTCGTCTCGTCATTATCCTCTCGCATAACTATATTCCTTTACTACGTTCTGTATTTCCCCTCTCGATTAAACTTTATTGACTAACATTCCCCTCTTTTAAGTGAAGCACGCTCGACGAGGATTATCGTGCTTCCTTTACAGGGAAGAAAATATCTGCTTTTTAGAATTTTTGAGTTAGCTTCGGTAGCATGCGCCTGCTTGCTCGACGTCACTCTTACAAACGGCGATTATCTGTCTTCGTGTATTGCCTTTAGTTGCTTCGCACGTAGCGGGCACGTAGCGACGCCGCCGCGTGCAGATCCCGTTCGCTGCTTTCTCGAGTCTTTTCGAGCCTTGTGATACTCGAAGCGTCCGTCGTCTTGGAACGAACAGAAATCGTCGAAGCGCGTTGTTCGTGTACGCGGAGGAGAGCTACGATTTTTAAACGATCTAATAAGAATACGGGTACGATCTCGTTTGGCCGCTCCCCTCGTGTCGACGATTCCCTCGCCGCCCAACGCCGTCGTTCTCCTTCGTGACTACCGGGGCTCGTAGGCTTCGTAGACGAGCTCTGGCACCAGGGCCAACGAGAACGTAGCGCCGGTCTGTCTTGCGTATTGCCGTCTCGACGTGATGGCTTCGTGTTACCTGTTGTTCTCTTCCATCACTACCTGCTTGAACACACCGGGCATTTGACTCTTTACCTCGTGGCTGCCGAGCGCGGTCGTGCCGTCTTTCGCGATGAAGAGTTGAAGACCAGTTGCTGCAAAACACGTGCATTATCGTTTAATAGTTAAGTTGCAATTTATCCTTCTCTTATTTGTACTAATTCATTTTCAAGGCTTGTGGTCTGATGGAGAACATACTCTCGGAACTTTCGAGATCCGTCTGTTCCAAATTCGTTGCTTTGAGCAGCTCGTCGATAAGAGAATCAGGGTTCGGCCTGGTGACTTCGACTCTGCAGAGGATAGGATTACCAGTGCCGTCTTCCGCTTTTTTCCTGCGTTCCAGTGCGGCTTTGGCTCGGTCCAAGGACCCAGTTTCGCTGAGACCCGAACCGCCGGAAGGATTTCTGCGGGAAGAATATATAAATTACCGTCATGTTCATTGTGTGTACATCACGACATTGTATCGCGTGTTGAGCCGCGGGCACTGGCATAGAAAGTAAGAATCAATGCTACTATTATTAATCAATAAAATCAGAAGACTACAAAAGCCTCGGTTTACATTAATGACGCGTATAAAACCAATGTAATTTTTGCAATCATTAATATTTTTCCTTGCAACCCATTGATTATGTAGAGTACGAGAAACTAAATTGCCCCCTTTTTTTTTTATTTTAGATGACACCTAATCAATGGAGTAGAAATAATTACAACTTGTTCTCATTTCGCGCAATTAAAGTTGAAATTTAATCGATCGGTCTTTCCTTCGTCTTTGAATTCTCGATTCGAGCGGTTAAGTATGTTCAGAGTCGTGGAAAAACATATATTTCTAAAATATGAGGCCTCGAGACCTAAGATTTTCATTTTATTTCAATTTTATTGATTTTCTCGAATGTAGCAGTGTACAGTTACAAGTGACAAGCACAAGATGTACTAGAGCTGTACTTTATATATTACTGTGCAATTCGAGAGAGATTCCTTTAGGAGAGAAATGTAATCTCGAGTAACAAATTCCATGCCAGTGGATTGAAATTAATGTACACGACGCGTTCATCCGATAAAATTGGGGAAACACCGCGGTGTAACACAAGTGACAAAACATACAAGGGAATAAACGTGTCTTCGTCGTGCGGAAGTAGTAAGAATGTATAAACAAAGGAGACGACTCGTGCGAGACGATTAAACATACGCGTGGAGATACAGAGAAGGTTCATTAATTAAGCGAGAAAGGGAATAGAGAGAAGTTCATTTGGATCTTCGATCTAACGATATTAACGCTCAAATATTTACTTGCATTGTAAACAGTAAATTTGCAAGAGCTATCTGACACGGTACGTCCAAATAAACTCACTACGGATATTGTATCTATGCAGAAAAAGAAGAGAAAATGAAAAGTATTTCCGTGCGAAAATTGCGTGTTTGACAGATGCATGCGTCTCATGCGCGATAAGCGTGCAGAAAGCGTGAGCTTTTCGAATTAATCGCGAGGAAACGGGGTGTCGGTAGGAGAGAGAGAGAGAGAGAGAGAGAGAGAG